CCGAGTAGGAAAGTGATCAGGAATAGGAAGGTGACCTTGAATGGGAGATTGATCAGGAGTAGGAAAGTATTCTGAGGGGGTTGTGGGCTCTGGATTCACCCATGGACCTAGGAAGTGGACTGGGATTAGGAGGCTCGTGCCCACGTGGTTTGGGCTGGCTATATCTTGTACCGAATGGGCCTAATCTGGTTGGGTCATATCAGGATTGGGCCTGGCTTCTTCTTCAGTGTCGAGCCCGTTTTCCTATTCGGGCCAAGGACAATTTTTGGCCTTAACAACAATCTAGAGTGAAACCAAAAATAGTAAACACACAAATCACAAATAGTAAAGAGAAAGAAAAAATATACATGATTTATCCTAGTTCATCCAATTAAGACATCTTTAAATGACTCTTTATATGATAAAAACTCTGTATTATGAAGAGTTTGTCCATAAAAACAAGAGTCTAATAGACTCTTTATTCTTTAAATATAAATTAAAGAGTGTGTTTGATTTTTTACGTCTATAGAGTCAAATTTCATTCTTTATTTCAATTTTATTTAATAAATTACAAGTTTTTATACATTTTATTATTAATTTTCTCCCTTATTTATTAAGTCTAATTTAAAGAGTCCATTGGATTTAAACATAAATTTTATTATTTATATTTAGAAATGAATGAAAATACTGTTTATTTATGTGAAATATGTTCTTTAAAATAAAGAGCACAATTGGAGATGCTCTAACATGTTACATCCAACGGAGTCAATATTATTGTAATATTTTCTCATCTGTCTCGTTTACAATAAATATAATTTATCATATTATTTGCTATCATACTTATACAAAAGAAAATATGTTTGTATACTAGGTGTAATTTGCTCCAAATATGTCTGCTTGGCCCCTTAGAACATCTTCAAATGACTCTTTATATGACATAAACTCTTCATTATAAAGAGTTTATCCATAAAAACAAGAGTTTAATAGACTCTTTATTCTTTAAATATAAATTAAAGAGTGTGTTTGACTCTCCACATCTAGAGAGTCAAATTTCAATTTTTATCCTAATTTCAATTAATAAATTGTAAGTTTTTATGCATTTTATTTATTAATTATCTCTCCTATTAAGTCTCTTTCTTAAAAAAAAAAAAAAAAAAATCTTTCTCCTAAAATTTAAAGAATCAATTGGATTTGAATAAAAATTTTGTTCTTTATATTTAGAAATTGATAAAAATGTTATTTATTTATATAAAATATACTCTTTAAAATAAAGAGCATCACTGGATATGCTCTTATTATTGAAGTGGCCGACAATTCCAATATGTAGGGTTCTCGAAATCTTTTACCTGTCTTTAGAAAATCTATCATTTGAAAATCTTATTCATGATGTGTGATGAGGATTTTCTCTTTCATGAGCTAGATTTTACTTGTTTATATATATATATATTTCCGTTTGATATTTAATTAAAATTTCATTGTTTGGGATAAAGATGAATACATTGGTGCGACTCTTAACGCTTTTCTTTGTTGGTTATATGAAGAGTCAGCTACAAACGAAATTTAAACCCCACATTCTTTCTATCATTATTATAGAACTTATCATATTACTATAGTAAACTTGAATTACTTGTTAAGATAAAAATACTTTTAGCATCCAACATAGTAAACTTTAGTTTTGTATATTGCAGGGTTTTTGTGAAAGAGCTAGCTAGTTTACTATATGTTATTATTATTTTTTTTCAACTCATCGCTTGAGTTTCCCTGCTTACACTGCATGAATATAATTCTGGAAATGTTTTCTGAAAGCATGAATATCTATTGCAACAATCGCAACGGCATTGAAAAGAGATACATTTTTTCTCTCTTCAGATAGTTTGGTTCTTGTAACTCGCAACACTTCCTCTTTATATGAACTGATAAGTATAATAAAACCAGTTTTTTATTGTCCTGTCAATTGTCATCTTGACTAGCAACTGGGGACAGAAAATGGAAAATTGATAAACGATGATCACACAATAATGCATGGTTGCATGACAGCAAGGAGTCATCATCCAACATCAACTTGGCTCTATCCGTTATATGCTCTTATTGTTGAAGTGGCCGACAATTCCAATATGTTGGGTTCTCGAAATCTTTTACCTGTCTTTTAGAAAATCTATCATTTGAAAATCTTATTCATGATGTGTGATGAGGATTTTCTCTTTCATGAGCTATATTTTACTTGTTTATATATATATTTCCGTTTGATATTTAATTAAAATTTCATTGTTTTGGATAAAGATGAATACGAGCTTCAGCATTGGTGCGACTCTTAACGCTTTTCTTTGTTGGTTATATGAAGAGTCAGCTATAAACGTAATTTAAACCCCACATTCTTTTTATCATTATTATAGAACTTATCATATTACTATAGTAAACTTGAATTACTTGTTATAAAAATACTTTTAGCATCCAACATAGTAAACTTTAGTTTTGTATATTGCAGGGTTTTTGTGAAAGAGTTAGCTAGTTTACTATATGTTATTATTATTATTTTTCAACTCATCGCTTGAGTTTCCCTGCTTACACTGCATGAATATAATTATGGAAATGTTTTCTGAAAGCATGAATATCTATTGCCACAATCGCAACGGCATTGAAACGAGATACATCTTTTCTCTCTTCAGATAGTTTGGTTCTTGTAACTCGCAACACTTCCTCTTTATATGAACTGATTAGTATAATAAAACCAGTTTTTTATTGTCCTGTCAATTGTCATCTTGACTAGCAACTGGGGACAGAAAATGGAAAATTGATAAACGATGATCACACAATAATGCATGGTCCATGACAGCAAGGACTACATGATGGTAATGTAGGTTGTGTTTCTCTATAAAAGTCTAGATAGTCAAGTTTGTGGTTAAGACATGCTTAGTTGCTGACCTATGGCTTTTTCACTATTAAGTAACCTTCTTGTCCTGCCTGACGTTTTTAACATGGTCCCGAGGTTAGATCTTATTAATTCAAATAACTATGGGGAGTCTGAAGTCTATTTTTGTCACTCTCTCATCCCCCTCCCAACAAAAAAAAGTTATTTATATTCAATAACTTGACATGACTTTCTTGCTGCAGTATGAAGTGTATTTATTGACATCGAAGTGAGAATAATTTTTGCTTAATTTCTTTCTTCTCACATACCCCCTATTTCGTCAGTTCATGCTTCAATATAATATTATAATGTAGAGAGAGATGGGAGCAGAAGAGGTTCGTACTGAGATATATGGTATATTTGGTTACAATGTGGTGACAATGATTTTAATTTTGATAAATTCAATGCTTAGTGACATCTGACATCTTGCTTTTGCAATGAATGGTTCCATCTATTTTTAATCTTTTCGAGCTCAGACAACTAAGTTTTATTTTGGAAACTTTTGAGCCTAGGATCAAAATGTATTTACTTTTGACGTTTAATATGCAAAAGTAATATTAATTATTTGTTTATGTTTCAGATAGAATCGTAATAAGTTCATACTAATTTTTGTGAATTACTTAGTCCTCATTTTCTGATAGCCGTATGAGTGTAATTAAGGGGGTATGGTGTGGGAATTGGAAAAACTTGTAAATTACGAGCTTATATATTCCGCAGGCAGTGTTTTGTTTCAAATACAAATACTTACAAGGACGGGTTTCACGTTCATTCTTCCACAGTCACGTAAACACCGTAAACAAAACTAGTGGGCTTATTATGTATCAAAAATAAAGATTTAGTTCCGGATGAGCCTTGACCCAAAATCAATGTTTCTCACAGAGCCCAAACTTAATACGATTATGTGAATATTCTTTAGCCCTAGGCTCCTGGATAATTGACTATATTTACTTGGCCCTGTATTTTTTGCCTCATTCACAAATTTACGCTGATGAAATTATTCAGTCAAGAGCAATAGAGAAGCCGCCTACAAATGATTGTTGTTTTCAACTATGACAATGAAGGAACAAGTAAAAACGTATGTTGTATGTACAGTGGAAGATGTTTAAATTTAGCATTCAAAAGAGCAGAGCATTTATTGACATGTTTGTTTCTTTGTAATGCCAAATTTGGACTATTTGTTCCATATGTTCTTTCTTGCTCGATACTGCAAGCTTCTTGAGGAGAACTCTTTCAGGGGAAGGACTGCAGATTTCTTTTACATGATTTTGTTGGAGCAACATTTTTAACAGGCACTGCTCTTATTGGGGGAATGATACCTTATTTGTCAGAATCATTTGCAAACTTCATATTCCTTAGCAATTCATCGACACTCATGATGGTTAGTTTTCATTTTTCCAATTTGCGACATTGTTTTATTGGTGATGTTGTTGATAATCACCTGGAGGCCATCTAATTTTCTTAAACCATACAGGTGTATGTGTGGAGCAAACAAAATCCTTTCATCCATATGAGTTTTTTGGGTTTGTTTACATTTACCGCAGCTTATCTACCATGGGTGAGTAACTTCTTTTTAAGGTTCCAATAGTTTCTAGTTTTTATTCTTTTATTCTTCATTATTTGTAACTATGCGGAGAAAAGTTTTCCCTACTTAAAAGTACTAATATTTTGTTTTTTTAATGAAGCTGTTTTGTCTTGTTGGTCTTCTATTATGTGTTTTAATCATATATGTTATGTAGTTGTATATATACTGAATTTATCTACTTTTAATCTTTTATAGTTCATGGGAAAAAAATATACACAGATGCAGAGATCGATGAAGTTAGAGGAGAATGGACGACGTACGTATCAAACTTTTTTAAGTTATTGATTTTTCATTGATGTCAAAGCATCAATGAGGGAAAAAATATGTATCAAACTTTTGTTGAATGATCTAGTTTGGGTTTGGGATACAGTTGGTGACCAAAGCATAAGCAGTCTGTTTTATGCAAGATTTTTATTGATTGACTCCTCAAAATTATATATATTATCTTTTCTCTGTCTCTTTTCTAATTGCTGCAACACATTGAATAGTTAATATCAGGTTTATTAATCTCATTTCTAAGGTTATTGATTATACACATATAATAAGATTAAATTTTAACTATTTAAAATGCATTAACCACACACACACATATATATAATATTCAATCGTGTAATCTGCCTGTATAGTGTACATCGGTTCAGACATTAAAAAGCATAGTCAAAGTGTTCTCACTTCACTTTCATAGCATAAATTCTATCCGCAATAGAATGCAGTTTAAAATTCAGTCGTGTAATCTGCTTGTTAGTATACAATAGTCGGTATTTTTGGAGACGTACAAATGGATCCAGATTAAATCTTCAACAAAATCGGTGACAAGGAAATGTAACCAATTGCATTGATGTTTGGAAGCGTTTCATGTGATCCCACCATGCATTATTGCTCCAATTTACTGTTTCTTAAACCATGTGCAAGTCCAAATTACAAAACAAATTAGGTAAAATCTGCACAGTAGATAATGTGCTATAAGAGTGAAGGAAAATGAGTGAATTTTAAGAACAAAAGAAAATGCATCTGCAATCCTTGTGCGAGCAATTCTGGCAAGCCACTTCCTACAATCACTTATTTCTCTCTATTTTCTTTTTCCTTCTGTTTTTGCTCAAGAGCAAAAGATGTACCAAACTCAACTTACCTCCATCTCCACCCAAGTTACCAATAATTGGCAATCTTCACCAACTAGGCAAGTTTCGCCACCACTCTCTTCGAGACCTCTCCCATAAGTATGGCCCTTTAATGATGTTGCAATTGGGCCAAATTTCAACTCTTGTCATTTCATCAGCTGACATGGCCAAGGAAATAATAAAAACCCATGATATTGTATTCTCAAACAGGCCCAGAACCACAGCTCCAAATATTTTCTTTTATGGATGCAAAGATGTTTTGTTTTCTCCTTATGGCGATTATTGGAGACAAGTCAAAAGGATCAGTGTTCTAGAGATTTTCACCCACAAAAGAGTGAAATCATTTCAGCTTGTTAGGGAGGAAGAAATTGAACATATGATTAATAGAGTACGGAATGCATGTCTGAACGAAGATTCTGTTAATCTAAGTGAGATGATTTTTGGTATTACAAACAATATAGTGTCTAGATGTGTTTTGGGTCCAAGAGCTGTTGAAGAAAATCATACCAACAAGTTTGGAGCTTTATTTAAGAGGTTTATGGTTCAACTAGAAGCATCTGCTTTTGGAGATATATTTCTCTGCTTGGCATGGATGGATGTTCTTACAGGTTTGATTGGTCGTCTCAAAGCAACTTTTACAGAATTAGATGCTTTCCTTGATCAAGTGATTGAAGAGCATCGGACGTCAAATAGTTACGATACCCAGTATGATAGACAAGACTTTGTTGATATTCTCCTTCAACTTCAAAAGGATGGTGATCATCTTGAGATAGAGCTCCTCAAAGACAATCTTAAAGCAATTCTTGTGGTATTTTTCTCTCTTCTCTCTATTGCCCACAAGTATACACACCCAGTCGCGGTTAAAGTTCTAATTTCTTTTCTTGTTTTTAAATTCCAGGACATGTTTGTGGGAGGAACTGATACTACTGCAACAACCATTGAATGGGCGATGGCTGAACTTATAAAAAATCCAAATATTATGAAGAAAGCACAACAAGAGGTTAGAAGTGTAGTGGGAAAGAAATCGAGGATAGACGTGAAAGATATCAATCAGATGGACTACTTGAAATGTATCATCAAAGAAACTATGAGATTACACCCACCGGCTCCTTTCCTCGTTCCTCGAGAAACTTCAGCTAGTGCCAAATTAGGAGGTTATGATATTCCTCCCAGAACAAGAGTGTTAATCAATGTATGGGCGATTCAAAAAGACCCCGGAATATGGGACAAGCCAGAAGAGTTTATACCGGAGAGGTTTGAGAACAACCCGATTGATCGGAAAGGGCTACACTTCCAGCTCATCCCATTTGGTGCAGGAAGAAGAGGTTGCCCTGGAATATCTTTTGCGCTTGCTACAGCTGAATATATGATTGCCAACCTCTTATATTGGTTTGACTGGAAGATTGCTGCTGGGCAGACGTTGGACATGAGTGAGGTTTATGGTATAGTGGCTCATAAGAAGTTTCCTCTGCGCCTTCTACCAATTTCATGCTGTCCTTGATCTTTTTAGAAGTTCGAGGTTGAGCCAGCAGCATTCCTGTTCCTGACTTTTGTATTGTAGTATTTGTGTTTCATGGAACGTATTCTAGTAAATTCTATCACATTGTTTTCTACGAAATAACGTATTGTTTCTATATTTTCAATTATAAAAGATTGTTAAATAATTTATACAACATTTAACAAATAACTTAACTTTAATCAGGACCAAGCTATGTATGTTCTTATGAGGTGAAACTCGAAAAATCCTGATTAATGGGCGTAGTCATGTGACATTTGAGTCTTTGTTAACCCTGTGTCTGAATTTTACCCGTCCTTTAACAAAGTTTTATAACTTCCATAAATCTAATTAAACTAGGAGTTTAATGAAGTAGTAAATCAAGGTAATTATCATTTTCAGTAATTATTGCATTAAGCACAGACAATTAGCATTGCAGGCAAGGTTTTGGTGATTGACAGCTTTACTTTGCCGATATGATTAATTTTGAACATTTATCTATTAATTAAAGTACTCTTAGATCAAGTGATAATTTAACATTATTAAAAGTTTTTATATATATATATACTATTTTTTTTCTTTTTTAAATGAGTTAATGGTTTTTTCCTATTCAAATAATAGTTTAATGACACTTTTTTATCTACAGATTTTAAATTTTTTTTACTAAAATACTGATTAAATTTTTTTCTTTTTAAATTATGACTTGATTCACGATCCAGCTTTTAGTGATGAATTTTTAATTTTTAACTTTACATTACATGTCAAGCATATCCACATCATAACTATACATAATTCAATCATTTTTGAACATGTTGAAGCTTATACAATAAATTATTGTATCTTTTTTTTATATTTATTTAGAATTTGAACGGTGCCCTCTTTCAAGCTTACAAGCAATGACTTTAGGGTCATGAGTTAATCAAGTTATCCAAAATCATAAAAAAATTGCTTAAGTTGGGTATCAGTCGGTAGATAATATAGATTTAAGCATACATTTGATTAAAATATAACAGCTTCACAAAAAGCTAGCCTAACAATACCGGCAAGCCCCGTAATTGGATACGCAAGAATCACGGTTGAGTAACAGTAACAACTATCAAATCACTCCCATCAACTTTCTAATACCAACTGATGATGATCTGTATTTTATTTTATTTTTGTTTGGTTGCTAAAAATTACTTGCCGTTTGGATTGGTTGATATTATATAACAGGGGTAATATACTTTAAATTAGGTCGATAATCATATTTGGTTATTTTATAAAAAGAAATTCTGGAAAAAAAATATCAAATAATGTCAAATTGGGGGTAAATCGCGAGGAATAATATTATCTGGGAGAGGGTGTTATTAAAATATTATTCCAGCAATCTGAATTTTTATCAAATTTTACCCCAAAATAGTGGACAATATGGATGAAAATATCCTTGGGCTTTTTAATAATTACAAAACACTTAATTTGCATAAGAAGACGGATTTGTCTTCAGTTTTTTAATTTTTCGGACAAAATTGCCCTACTAATATCAATATTTTCAAAAATGCCACGAAATATTGGTGTGCCCATATTATCCTCACATATTTGCATATTGTGACCAATATGCCCTTTTATTTCACTAGAACTACAATATAAAAAGAAAAAAAAATTCTCAACCCTAATACACATTTTGACTGAGACTCTGCCCTAAACCTCCATCGCCGCTACTGGTCTTCTTCTTCTCGATCTCATTCGCGACTTCATCACTTCGATTGCCATTTTTCAGTAAGTCAAATGCCCTCTTTCCATTATATTTTTCATTTTGGGTTTGTTTTGCGTTTGTTAGTCTAAGATCTCGCTCTTGCCTCTGTTGTTGGTCAACCATATTCGCTGCAGCACCTCTGGTCTTCGTCTCCACTTGTTTGATCCGGATAGCACTCCAATCGCCATTTCTGGACAACACTACAAATGTACCAATAATTCTCACACTTTTCACACATAATTTCGGTCTAGGATAAGTGGAAAAAGTTAACAAAATTCCTCAAATTTGGAAACTTGCATCTGAATTCTAGCCATGGTGTAAACAAAAAAAGTACAATTTTTCTTTTGCCTTGAAAAAAAAAAGGGCTTCAATTGGACTAAAGTAGAAATCAACATGTAGGAACTATAATTTGGGGCAGTGCACAAATCAAAGTTTTAAATTGGGAGATGGGAACTATATTAGTTGCAATAACAGGGTGAGGTGTTGAATGTATACCCAACATAAAATACAATAGCTTTTTTTTTGAAATTTCAATAGTATGTGTAAATTTGTCAATAAATGACTTAACAATAAAATACTTGGCTAAAATATAAGAAAAAGAATTTTGTTAAGTGATCATTTGTCTTATTAACTAAACACATTAATTATTTGTATCCAGTAATCATCTAAAGGGCATTTTTATAAAATGTAATCAAGACATCTGCTCTTACAGCCAACCAAACAGATTAATTAGTAATACAAGTAATCTTTCAAAGGGCATTCTAGTAAAAGGTCATTTTAGGACATCTGTTATTACTGTCAACCAAACACATTAATTATTAATACATCCTAATTGAACCAAGCACAGTAATAATTTAAACCTAGTAATCTACAAAGTAATATATCTTTTCGGTAATCTTATTACTAAGATTAAAAAAAAAATTATATGATTCAAACGCCCCCTAAAAACTAAATGCTACTTCTCTCTTCTTCTCTTAATGAAACTCCGCGCTTTTGCTTCCTCTTCTTTCTCACATGATATTTTTGTGATATTTTATTAACTACAATTTCGATATGTCAATTTCTGTGGTGTATCGAGTCTGCTTTATCATTCTTATCGATTTACAAGTATGGGAGTGTTGTTATCCTCAACATCTTATAATCGGGTTGATTCGAATTAGCCACACTCAACCAAGAGAATATGCACTTACTAATATACTTTTAATAATAATTTTTCTTCTCAATTTTAAACAAAATTTTTAATTTTTATTATACTTTTTTTTTGATTAAATAATATGATGTTGATGTTATGCTAAAATTACTAGAAAAATATGGAGAACAAATTAAAATCTTGATAGTGTTTACTTAAAAACTAGTTATTATTTACATTTACATTTTCTTTTCTCTTCTTTATTTATTTATTTATTTTGTATAAAATAACATCAACCAAAAGAACAGGGAAAGAAAGGTAAATTACGGTCGCTCTCATGTAATTTACCATTTTTATACGCTTATATACTTACATTAACATGACTATGCAACTATAAATATAGGTGAAGTATGTCAAATCATTTTAATTGTAATGTCTTTATATGATATCATTTTATTTACTTTCTTGATGTATGTTTTTATTGGAGTCTTATACAGACTAGACATGCTTAAGCCTATTGGTTTATAAGAGGGGTTAATCCTCTCATTCAACAAAGTCTTATTAAGTAAGAAGTCAGACCCACCTCAAATTCTATTAGTTTTCACTTCCAGGCATGATCGCTAACACTTCCATTATTTTGTCCCTCACTTTTTGGGCACATGGGTGCATCAATTAGATCACAGAGGTACGTATACGCATTCATGCATGGCTAATGTTCTCCTGTTTGGCAGCGACGCAAGAGAAGGTTACTGCAAAGTGTGACAACAGTGATAAAGGTATGGATGTTGACAGTGAAAGGGAGATAGGGGACATAGATGTTGACTTTGATTCTAATTCTATGATGGGCTTTATAAAAGGGGGAGTTGGCTCAATCGTGTTGAGATTTCCATAATATTTTGTAATCTCTTATTTTTGTCAATATTAGGATACTATTGATATTATGTAATCTCGTAATTATATCAGTATATTGTGTAATCTGTAACTGACATAATTAGAAGATTCAATGGATTGTATTCTACTTATATAAGGATTGTAACTATGTATTGAAAAATCAATGAATCTAAACATACAATTCTTCAATTAAACATGGTATCAGAGCCACTCTTTGATCTAAAAAATGCTCATTGTAGAGCAACCACCGATAAACTTCTGGCGAGTAACCATTCATCGTGTCGTCAATCCAAGAAGGAGAAAACGACATCAACCAATCAACCCAAACACTAATCCAACCACACCACCACTGCCATTTCCTCTCAATACCATCGATTTATCCCGATCAAAAATGCCAGCCATCAAATCCATCTGCTGCCATATACTAGACTTATAGCAGATCGCTTAAGTGATCTTCAACCATATACCCAATCGCTTAAGCAATTTGCCATCTACTGCATTAAACTAGATATACTAGATCGCTTAAGCGATCCATCAGATCCGGAGCATATTTTCAGTCATCTCCACCTACAATCGGTGCTACCACCCCCAACTACCCATAATGCAAGAAAATATTCAACAAATCTCACTCCTTTGAACTATTGCTTACATCAAACACAACCCAACAACCTAAACAACTAAATCAAAATCATAACCCAAACCCAATCCATCATTAATTCTTTGTAAATCAAAATTTAAAATGCAAATAAGAGATAGACTTACCTGGAAAAAATGTCAGGAGGAGGAGGAGGAGGCAGATCTTTGGTGAAGAAGATGTTAATGACGGAGGAAGAAGAAAGTGTTAATGGCGGAGGAAGAAGAAGAAGTAAAGGAAGGAGGAAGAAGAAGATGTAGACGAAGCTTAGAAGCAACCAAGGGAGGTGCGTTAATGGCAGGAGGAAGAAGAAGAAGGTGTTTGGGTTTGTTTGCAAGAATTTCAGCTTTTTGGGGACATATTATAATTTTTAAAAGATTACACAATACTTCATTAATCCCTAATTAACCACTAATCATGTTTAATTAACCTTAATCAATAATAAGGCTATTTACTTAACACTTTAAAACTACATGACATTTTAATTAAATTTGAACTTGATTTGGTCTTTTAATAAAATGTCTTCTCATATAATATATACGTTGTATGTATTTTAAAGACTTACCGTGCTAAGATGACTATGGGAAAATCAGAGACTTGGTGCGAGTGCAACTAGGGGTCCTTAGTCGCTTCATGATTTCTCTACAAATGTATCATTACGTTTTGAGTTTTGCGGGAATAGTTTTGCAGTTGTTC